GAAAGGGGGGGGGGTGAGTAAGAGAAAAACAGGGAGATGGGAGAGAAGGAAAGGAGATAAACGGACAGACGGACACACAGACACCACAGACACATAGACAAACACACACACACACACACACACACACACACAGTCAGACAGATAACAGATAGACACTTAAACAGATATAGATCTCTATAGGTTGAACATAAGAGAAAGAAAACAGGAAACATCGTGAGGGTAACTCCAGAACCAAGCAAAACTATAAGACAGAAATGGAGAAAAAACTGTTCTGGAGTTTTGAAAAATGTGAAATCAATGTGCATCACGGGAACTTCAACAGGGCCTGGTTTTGACAGGAGGCCGTCTCATCCACGCAGTCATAACGCTCCAAAATATTTCTCTGACATGATTTATGGGGAAGGGAAGTTCACAAACAAACAAAAAACCCGTAGACATTGATAGAGTTTTCCCCCTTCAGAATGTTGCTTTCATTATATTCACGTGCATGCTGGGAGTTGTGTGAACCTGGGTCCATTAAGGTCAAATAATTTGGAAGCGAAGCAGACGTCGTATTCACGTATTTCCTGGAACGCGTAATTACATACATGGTGAACTTTTTCATATTCCTTCTCTTTTTCTAGTTTTGTTTTGTTTCATTTGTTCCTTGAGTGGCTATGTTGCGGTATGGCAGAAGAATACTCAATGGAGGAAGGGGGAGTGTTCATCCGTTGGTTCAGAAATATGGTGGTGGTAGTGAGGAAAAGACGGCACACCGGAGGAGATATAATAAGCTTCATGAGTTAATAAACCCGACCTCCCCCCCCCCTCCCAACTCAACGCGAGTGACGCTGAAAGGAAAAAAAAGTTCCCCTCTGTGCACACAATCTGCTTGGTGCTCTTCCCCATACCTTGGGTCCGAACTGAAGGCCCAACGCTACAACTACAACGAGGGCGAACTCTCTATTCTTCGACCTTGCTTAACTTAATTTGTTTCCTGCGCCGAGAACTTGGATTCTCGGCGAAAATAGAGTGATAAAGATTGCTCGTTGAAATGCTACAGCACGGGACGCAAAGTAAACACGGTTTTAAATTTGCTTTAGTGTTGGTGCTTCCGGGAAAATCCGGAGTCAGTGAAGGAGTAAGACCGGGGA